CTGTCAGGTTTTATTCCTATTTAACAGAAGTAGAAACTGAGTCTTGGGAGTGTTTAAATGAATTTCCCCAAGTCATAGGGAGCCTGGTGGCACAGTGGTTAAGAGCTCAGCTGCTAATCAAAAGGTTGGCAGTTCAAATCCACCAGCTGCTCCTTGGAAACTCTATGGGGCAGTTCTACTCTGTCCTATAAGGTCACTATGAGTTGGAATTGACTTGACAGAAATGGGTTTGGGTTTGGTTCCAAGTCATAGAGCCAGTAAGTAGCAAACCCAGGACTCAAGCATAAATGGATTCAGTTTACCAGAAGAACTAGATGGTGCCCGGCTACCAGCACCGAATGTTCTGATCAGGGACACAATATATGGATCCTGACAGAAAGGGAGAAATAGGAGAACTTCAAATTCTTAAGGAATCCAGACCTACTGGACCTACTGAGACTGAAGGAGTCCCTGAGATTACTGCCCTGAGCCAGATTCAGAAGAGGACGTGGAACCAGGGATATCTTGGCTGAAAGCAGAGAATACCAGAAAAATGTTTACTTGTGTTTTATTGACTGTGCAAAGGCATTCAACTGTGTGGATCATAACAAATTATGAATAACACTGTAAAGAATGGGAATTCCAGAACACTTAATTGTGCTCATGAGGAACCTGTACAGAAACCAAGAAGCAGTCATTTAAACAGAACAAGGGGACACTGTGTGGTTTAAAATCAGGAAACGTGTGAGTCAGAGTTGTATCCTTTCACCATACTTACTCAATCTATATGCTGAGCAAATACTCCAGGAAGCTGGACTATATGAAGAACATGACATCAGGATTGGAGAAAGACTCAGTAACAACCTGCGACATGCAGATAATACAGCCTTACTTGCTGAAAGCAAAGAGGACTTGAAGCACTTACTGATGAAGATGAAAGCTACAGCCTTCAGTACGGCTTGAACCTCAACATAAAGAAAGCAAAAATCCTCACAATCAGCTAGTGGACACCCTTTTAATTCAGTAGTGAAGTCACTCCTGAGGTTCACCCTTCAGGCAAAGATTAGACAGGCACACAAAACAAAATGAGACTAAAGGGGCATGCCAGCCCAGGGGCAACAATGAGAAGGCAGGAGGGGACAGGAAAGCAGGTAATGGGGAACCCAAGGTCAAGAAAGG